GGCTCGCCCATGGGGACGACAAATCGGGGGATATCGAGGACGGTGGTTGTGACCGAGTTCTCTGCGTCGTCGGAGGACGCAGATTCAGATGACCGCCGACGCCAATTGACCTCCAATGCACAGGTAAGCGCAGTTGGTCGACGGTCTCCGAGAAGGAGCTTCTGGATATCGAGGCAGAAGTTGGATTCTCGCAATTCTTCTGGTGCAATATGGGATGTTTCTGGAGTGACGAGCTCTTCTGAGTGTACCTCGCAAATAGCTCCCCCGTTGGCTTCGAGGAGTCTCAGGGACATCTTGTCAATTACAAGCGGCTCTAGTGCAAAGGAAACTACCTTGGAATTGAGGCACCACTTCTGGAACAGGCCTCCAGGGCTTGGCGCAGAGCCATCCTCGAGTAAGTTATCGCTAACTGCGAAGAAATTGGGCCATGGCTGAGGGTGAATTGCCGGCAAGAACTCATAGTTCGCTTCAAACGGCCGAATAAATGATAGGGCCACGGTGATGTTCTTCATGATTGGGGTCTGGATATCAGACACTAAATGGTACACAGCCGAAACCTCCAACGTGAAATCCGTGGCCTCCTGGGTATCGGCCAGCACAATTGTAAGAGTTTTGTTAGAAGACCGCTCCAGAACACCCACAGCTCGTTTCAAGTAATGAGAAGGCCCCTCAGTTGGGGTGCTGGCGCCTGAGTCAGGGGGTTCGGAGCTGGAACCGCCGTCAAGCCACTGTATTTCAGCTGTGGATTCGGTACCGAAGAGTCTGATTTCAGCAGATACATCTGCAGCTTCGTCTTCTTCATTGTGTATACCAATCTGCAGCATCACCCTTTCATTGGTATAATAGGTAGACTTCAGGTTGGGAGTAGTGAGGCGGATCTTGGGAGGCTTAGGCATAACCTTGCATCTGCCAGTATCACGATCCTTGCCCACTCTTCTGCGGGTCACACCCTTTTGCGTCTGCTGCCACCAGAACGATTCACGCTGGCCTGGCTCAGTGATCGCATAACCCAAATCGAATTGTTCTTCTTCGATCAGCATAGTGATTGAAGCAACCTTAGCTTCACCAGCTTCGCGGGGAATACAGGTAAGGTTGAAGACCTTGGTCTGGGAGGGCCCCAGAGTCAGATCCGCTATACCGACCAATGCGGTCAGTCCACCGGCTGGGGATTGAATCACGGTATCGGGACTGCTCGGCTCGCGAAGTGGAAGAGTTGCGATGCAACATGGGGTTGTGGTGTCAGCATGCTGATCCTGGTCAGACTGAACCTTTACTGGGCGAAGACATCCTTCGAAAACTAGTTTCACCTCTGAGAGCCGGATAGGGGCCGAGGATTTATGAGCACACGAGGTGATGGCAAGTTGGGCCTGTAGAGGTTCCCCAACGTTACCATTGGATTTCTCGAACACCAACGACGCGGTCACTTTGAAGACAGGGGTCAGTGTAATCTTTGAATTTTGGGCTTGCAAACTTACAACTCGTTATTACATCCTCTGCGCGAAGGATAAGAGAAGGTTTGGGCTTTTCTGAAGGTAAACTTTCAAGACTCCTGTGGATGTCATAATGCCACGCGGGTCTCGGTTTGAAAGCTATCAGAATGAATGTTAATACTGCAAACAATAGGCACAAGATAAATGGAATTAACTCACTTTTATTCAGCAGCTCCCAGTCCACTCGCAAAACTGTCTCGCTGTCCTGAACCCTGAGGGCACTTTCTCTGAGCGTCCATCCGAAATTGACCATCAGATGCCACCACCCCGAGCGGCGCCAGCTAAGAGTAGACCACAGCGGTCGAAGAAGGCCATGCGCTTCGGACCAGGAGCCAATGCGCATATACTCCTCGGCCGCCTCAAGACTCAAGCTCTCAACTTTCCTTGTTTGGTGGCGTTTCGCGAATTCCTCGATAGCAGCTTTCAGCGTTTTCAATATTAGGCCCGAGTGGTCGAAGCCAGTTCGTCCCTCTTGGGGTGCTTCAGCATAAGGGCCGGGAACAAGATATGTGTCATATAAGTAGGATTTGTTTGCGAGTTGTGAGCCAGGTGATTGCCCAGGGGGCTTGCGATCTTCCAAAGGAATCTTCCGGGCAAGCGCACGTCGTATCATTGTATGCTTCGCTGAACGGTGTAGCCAGTAACCCTCGTGGTGGAGATTTTCCCAAGGCCTGACTCTTTCCCCGGTTGGAATCGATTTCTCGGGTAAAGTATAGATGTCTCCAGGTTGTTCAGAAGATATTTCGCTGGAGATGGACGGAATTTCCGCTCGGCGGATAAGCTGTGCCATTACCATCGACCAACGCGCCTCCCAGGCCTCCCATCCGTAGTTTTTACTCCCCTTTCCTCTGCGATTGACAATATCCTTTACGCGGATTCTGTGATCAACCCAAAGCCGAGCTGCGGCAGTCGTCTGTCCCGTCCATAACAAACAACGTATAATCCGAATGGCAAGGGCGTCGGCCAGGAGACGCGCATCGTTAAATCGAGGATTCCAGCCCGCGATATTTTCGAAAACTTCATGTCCAAATAGAGTGTCATACGCACTCTCATAGTTCCGACAGGCTGCATCCATTTCTTGACGAAACTCGGCAAAAATTCCAAGCTTGAATTCATACCTTACGTTCCAGCCTTGGGACGATAGGGTTTGAGATGTTCCAGTCGTTGGCGGTGCAGTCGGAGGAGGGATGCTGCCCCTATTTCGTTTACGCCTGGCATGTTTAGACAGATCACGATAGTATTCAACCACCGACGGCTGCAGTAGAGAGAAGAGTGATTTCACAAAATCTTGCAGTTCCGACGAACTTGCGTCTGGTGGGATCACAAATATCGACCTGGGTTCAAGGTTTGTTGACCGCCGAATCCCCGCAATGCGGTCATCAATCTCGCCCTCATAGCCACCTTCTTCTCCGTCTTCTGATATCAGAACGACCACAAATCGCGTCTTGTACCCGGAGGATTGCCATTCCTTTTTCAAGCTGTTGATCTCGATCTTGAGTTGATTGTCTCGTAGCGAATTCATATTCGGGTCTAACGAGAAAGGAAAAAAATTGATCACTGCTGCCGGAACCAGGTCTTGGTGTTTAGTTACCCATAGAGGGGTGAGCAAGCCATCTGGGAAAGTTGGGGAACCTGGCGACAAAGGCGATATTGGCGAGTGGAGGACATAGTGCGAGCTAGGTTCCGGGTGTTCATTGTCCTGATCATCGCTGGGGGTGGTTGGTGGTGAGGGGACAGGGGGGTCAGCTTTTCGTGGAGGGAGTCTGCATGACTGTGTTGGTGTTAGCAAGTAGTCCGCAGTACGATGTTGTGGAACCAACAGGATTGGAATCATAAAGTATCAACGTACGCGGCCAGAACTTTTGATGCGGTAACCGATATTTGCAGTCGTAGTATTCCCGCTTACGGTAATTCTGGACTTCCATGGCATCTGAGAGCTATCTTCTAGAAGAAGTAGGCTCCGGAGCTCCTCCGCAACAGCCCCGCTCAGATGTGGGAAGTCTGAAAAGATATGGGTCCCCTTCTCTGATAGCAGAGGATAGCTCAAGGAAGTTTTAGTGTCATTTTCAGGACCTGCCTCCAGTCCTGAGAGTAGGACTAAAGGCAGATTATGATTGACGTAGTCTTCGGGGTAGGCGTCCATTGAGGGCAATGGCAGATTCGCAGCGCGGTCACCACATGTCTAGAGGATAGAGAAGAGCTGGGGATTTAAGGAGCAAGATATAAAAAATCCCGGCGATTAATGAGACTAATGCTGAAATATGCTTCGGAGTTTCAATGATGTTTTGGGTAAGATAAGACAATGGCTGGGGAATACTGCCATGTTGCCACGGGCGGTCAATTATGTTTACACCTATCATAAGGATGAAAGCTGACCTATGTACTAGTTAGTTACTCCATATTATTGTGACATATGTAGATTCTACATGCCCCTATATACATAGTATAATGTCCGCCGGGTAGGGTTTTCCTCTCTACGCTGTCGCCGCTTTAATGAAGGTGATCAGGCTCAGGTCAACACAGGCCCAAGTGATCTGGTGCGTGAAGTCATGTGATCACTAATCACCGCTTACTCACCCGCCTGATTTTGCGGGATTCGGCTTACCGCCACCCACACCGCCTTACTGTCTAACTCCATAGCAAGACGTGCAATTTGTATATAAACTGTCACGATCTACAATAGATCGCTATGATATGCTTTATGTTTACTTGCTCGCTTACTGTTTGCATCGTTTATCTCATTAGATAGGTCCACGGGTTGCTTGCTAGATTTCTAAGCGAGAAGGTTCGAGGATTGCAACGTTTGCAAAGGGTTAGCTATTTGCGTCAATGCCACTTTCTGGCCATCGCAATGCTATATCAACAGGCTGCTTCCCACTGTGCAACTTGCTTCTTTCTTCTTTCTTCATCTTCGTTATCTAGTTGAATGTACTCTTCTTCAAGATTGACCTGGCACCTCACATAAACCACACTTTTTTATCACATCAACTATTTCATCCTCAACAACTACCACCACTGTGCTATTAGTGATCCTACTGTGCCAATAGTGTTTACCCAACAACTAGTCTTCAACAACTTCAACAACTGCTTCAACCCCAGATCAGTGATCGACCTTTCACCGTCACCTCCGTCTAAGCCTTCTCGGCAGCTGATAGCAGGTAACCAACTCTGAGCCAAGCCTTCCTATCATGGATCAGGATACTAAGCGCGGGATCAACCCATCTCTTTTGAGCGCCGAATCCACCAACCTTCTCGGCGATGAAGCATTGCCAAGTCAATATCTACAACTAAACACACGGTATGTGTTTTAGGCACCTGGCACGATTACCTCTTCTTCAGTTCCACCTATCTAACTGAGCAAAAGTGAATAGGGAAAGCGGTGAGAAGTGAGAAGTGACTTTAAGCGTGGCTCTCTGTCCTCCCCTGCCTCTTTTGGTAAGCGCCCCGCCTTCTTTACCTTACTACACCTCCTCAGCAAGACCCTCGACCCTTCACACCTGACGTTTCACCATGAGGACCTCAAAAACACCCGACTCGTTTCAAGCGCACAAGGCCAGGAAGCGCCTTGATCAATTTTCCACCGACTTGGAAACGGCCATAAACCATGCGACAAAATTCAAACCTTATCGAAAGACAGCTGTAATCGCCTTTCACTGGGAGAATGATGATATAGGGGTCGAGCCCCTTGAGAGAGAACTCCTGGACGTCTTCAAATCTGTTTATGGATTTGAGACCGAGAGTTTCACGATTCCGCTTATCGAGTCCCAGTTCAAACTTCTAGAACGTCTTGTTTCCTGGTCACGATAAAGTTCTGGAGAAGATACGCTCCGGATTTTTGTTTACTCAGGGCATGTGGAGTTTGCTGGAACAGTGGCCAGTCGCTGGAACTTGGCGTGAGTTATACCCTATCTTTAATTCTACTAATGTATCCCAGCTAATAAATAATAGCGGCAAATGCGATTAGTATACCGGTAACCTATAAGGTCCTAAACTCAACTGGTGGGGAATTCGTGACTACCTCGAACAATACATAGGCGAAATTTGTTATCTTTTTGATTGTTGCTCCGGAGGATTAGGGGCCTTGAGCGTGTACGATGGCGTAGAGTTTATGGCAGCCTCTACCTGGGATTAGATAGTAGTGTTGAATATCTATTTCTCCTTTACCCGAATTCTTATCGACGAGCTCTGTCAGTTGAACGGCTAGGCTGAGATACTAGCTGGTATCTATGCCCGAATTTTCCGCTACGCGCAGTAGAATCAGATTGGGGCTGTACTAATCCATATCCCTAAACTGAATTTGCTAAGCGTGACTATCGGTTGTAGTCGCTTAAGGCCGGTCATAAGAAGCGTCGATAAAGATTCTTATAGGGTGCTACTTAGTATCAAAGTCTAGGAAGAGATTCCCCTAGATTTCACCTAATGGAAAGAATGGCTTACTCGCAATATTCCTACTAACGTTTTGTCTACCAATGTCACTGTCGAAGGAGTATTTCGAGGCTCTAGTCTCCTTATTTTCACAGTTCCTATCGAGATCTGGACTATGATACCGGCTGATGACCTATCCTACACATTTATTGGACACATTACGTCTCATAATCTCCTGTCCTAACGACCGACTCAAACAAGCACACTAACAAGCACACTACCAATGTACTCTGGCGCTCCATCTGGAAGAGAAAACCAGCCACCGTGAAGCCCTAACAGAAAGCCGTTCGGTAGTCCTAAGCGTTGACCATCTCGTTGAATAGGCTTGGATTGTGATTTGCCATTCCCCCCCCCCCTTGCTTTATCTTGTCTTGCTTTTCCTTATTTTCGAACCTGGATAATGAGTTCTACTCTACTCAAAATGGAATTTTTCTTTCTTATAATTCTTCTTGAAAAGGATCCTTCCCAAGCGAGCTGCGCACCCAAGCGAGCTGCGCAGCGCAGAACATATAGTAAAATCGATAAATTATAACATGGTATTTTAACAACCAACGCTTTTATTTAATTTCATTACTGTCCGATAGCAATTGATAAGCATTTATAGTATCATATATCAGTTTTGAAGAAATCGAAAACTTGCATTGTTATGGTATCGAAAAATACATCGCTGAACCCTAGAAATATATATTTCTCAGTCACTACTCATTAACTACTTAATTAAATCCCTCCAAATCCTCATAAGTGGCTAGATATCATATTAAAAGCATTAGGCTAGAAAGAAAAGCTTGAGGTAGAATGAAAAATCAAGTTGAGTGCATTGACTAGTTTTCTGCCAGGCAATATTGACCAATAGTAATTAAGTCACCTATGGCGGGTATCGGCCTCCGTACACCACGCACACGGGTGGAAGTAGGGACGGTCGGCCGTGGGCATTATCGCAAGTGACGCCAAGGCCCATTCCGGTGAGCGAGACGCTCAAAACGGCCTCAAGTGCGGCCGTTTTTGGCCTCCTGCTCACCGTGTCATCGTTAATTGGAGTATATAATGCCGAATCAAATATCCACTATCTTGACATACTTGACTCTCCGTAGAGGAATACAGCAATAGAGCTATATAGCGATATAGCGATATTTTCTATGTAGTATACAAGAATAGCCCACTTACATAGTCTATACCCTTAATATGATATGATATAGTTCAAAACAAGTTCCTAATACTACTACATAGAGCATCCTAGTTGGACAATATATAATACACAACCGTAGATGAGAAAATGGGAGATTCAATCTGTAGAATGTGTAAACGACTTCCATGTATATAACCTATAACCTTTGAACAAATTGGATAGTATAACAAGCCAAAACAATGGAAGTATCGGTATGCACGTATACCACGACAGTCCATTAGGAATACAAGCAGACATCATGTACACAAATTATCAGTCGCAAGAATGAAATCAAGAAGTGGTACAAGGAAATTATCACAAACAAGGGTCATGTCGTATGAACTAGATATGAAGAAGGAGAGCAAAGATCAAGGAAAAGAGGAAAACCCCCGAATGCCACAGATTGGTGATAAGTTGATAAATGGTGGTAATTGGAGAAAAATAAAGAAAGCCAAGACACCGAAAAGCGAAGCAATGCTCGATTGACTGGGCAGTGAATTCCCACTCCCATCAGCCATATCATTGGAACCATCACAAGTCCTCGCACTGCCTCTGTTCTCACTCTTGCTCTGTCCCGCAGTGCACCCCTATCCTGTCCCCCATTCACAAAAGACATTTGGAAAGGGAAAAAAAGAAAAAAAAAGACAACAAAAAGACAAAGAAATTCCCATAGCGCCAGGCTTTTGAAAGTGAAATCACAGACCCCCTTCAAAAGATATGCATGCAACAATTGCCCTTCTCAGAATAGCCACAGCCACCCAGTGGAGTAAGATACTATGTCATCGCCTATCGACGGATAGGAACACCCTCTCTCGCGGGAGGGGGGCTAACACTAAGCTCCTGCTCACTCTGCACTGGTTCAGATGCCAGACCAGAGCCTGCCTCACCCTCACTGATACTAGTACCACGGTGTAGGTAGCTACCCCCTCCTTGATCGGGCTGCGGCTTTGGAACCCGACCGAGCCAGGGTGTCCGCTGATGCTGCCGGGAATCTGCCCGCCCTGGGAGCTGACACTTCCATTGCTGACAGAGTTGTTGTGGCCTGGTGAGGTTGAGATTAGGTGCGGGATGTTCTCCGGCACTGGGTGGCGTGACCCGATGTTGGTGACGCCTAGGTCGGAGGCTTTGCCGGCTTTGCTGAGGGCGTAGTCACCCGAATCGAAGTATTTGCGTTCCTGTATAGAAAATTAAATGTCAGGGAGGTGTTGTTTGGTGGGGTTAGGCTGTGTTGGGCTTGCCTTGAGCTTGTTCTGGAGGACGTCTTTCTTGGTGGGCATCTTGCCGTAGAGGCGCAGCAGACGCTGCTCCTCTGGGCTCAACGACTAGGGAATTGTTAGTAAAGATATGATAATAACAGTAGAAGTACTTACGTTGATGTCCACTTTGTTCTGCTGGTGGGGATTCATGATGGATGGTTGAAGAAAGTTGAAGTAGAAGTTGAAGTGGAGGGGAAATTGAAGCGGGAAAGATAAGGCGGGGAGAAGTTGATGTGTGACCGGCAAAGAGGGTGAGACGGGACTTATAGAGAAATAATAGGTTAAAGAATAACAAATAATAGAGAAGAGACTAGCAGTAATAGGATAGTTTTTTAAATAAATCCCAGAGAGGTGACGGATCGGAGATGGCCATTGGCCACTATTGGCTATGTAGGTAGATGACGTTCTGGGACTTTACCTCCCTGGATAACTGCGCATTATTGTGTTTTAATAGAATGTATAATGGTGTATTATGATTGCGGAGCGACGCGAAGCAATTAAATCATATGTTATAGTAAAAATATATCTCTAGTTTACTCTGGGTACTATTGGATGCTATATAAATTACTGCACATATACTACACTTCGTGGTGGGCTCGCACATATACTAAACTCATTAATATTGTATTTAACAACCTTCTACATCCTAAATCTTCCCATGACCCTCCCCAGGCTCATCTTGATACAATAGTATCATTGGTGAAATCAATTATAACCTCGTCACCTGCCCACAGTGGAACCGAACCTTGAGAACTTCTTCATTTCTTCATTTTTTCCGCTTCTGTGACGTCTCTCTCCCACACCCACCATGACTCGCCCAACCTTCGTAGTCGAGCATCTGGATCCCGAGCTGGGCCCATGGTCCACGCTCGAATATGCCTGCATTGCGCGTGAATCTCACGACCGCGGGGCACGATTCCTCCTCAGCTCTGTGCCCGCCGAGCTGCAGATGCCCGCAGATCTAGCCGCCACCAAGGGTCTCGAGGTCGAGCAGCGCAGTGTCGAGGAGATCTTTGCCGACCGCAAGGAAAAGGTCTGCTTGCTGGACCCCTCAGCTGAGGCCGAGTTGAGTCCTGAGGATGGTGATACCTTTGAGGTCTTCTTGTTCGGTGGTATCCTCGGTATGGAATTTTCTTCTTACCCCGCGATATGTACGGATTGAGTTCAGACTGACCCTTTGACTGTTAACTGCATCTGCAGGTGATGACCCGCCTAGAGGTATGTACTCTTTTCTCCATGCAATTCGGCGAGAGACTGACGACTTGGTAGATCGCACCTCGGAGTTGAGAAAGAAGGGATATGTCGGCCGCCGATTGGGGCCTAAGCAGATGACCACCGATACTGCCGTGCGAGTTACTCGTTTGGTTGTTCACGAGAAGAGTGAGTGTGAAAAGAAAAAAGTCAGGACAATATATGTGCTGTATGCTGATTCTGCCCAGTACCACTCGAGGACATTCAATATGTCGACTACCCGGAATTGCTCATCAATGAGCATGAGCGCACCGAAATGCCTTTCCGCTATGTCAAGGACGCCAATGAGCAGCCTATCATGCCTGATGTAAGACTATTGAATTGTTCGAGAGAACCAAGAAGCTAACTATTCAGGGGATGGTGGATCTTATTAAGAAGGACGCCGACAAGTCTATTGATTTCTTCTAAGTGATACACTGATTTACTAGTTGAAGATCCCCAAAATTAAACTATAATAAGGTCAACCAGTGGCGATGAGGTGCAATTTTTGATTTAGAGGTGAATATAACAAAATATATAGATCTTAAGGAGACGTATTTGCAGTTAATAATCCCAATTGACAAATAAATATGCATCGTACGAATAATACAATAAATACCGTTATTCAAGCAGCAAGTGGCGGTGCATTTTGTCCAATCCACCGGTAATGACCGGTAATTACACTCAATACTCCACAGGCCACGCCAGCCGTGGACTTCCTTTGAACTCCGTCATTCTACACTCTGAACACCTTATCACCTTAACCTCTCCTTTCTTTGGGTTTTGCTACTTCTTTGTGCACCCTCTCCTATCCCATTCCCTTGTGCCGTCCGACCCGTCTGAATTCGATGATCTGTTGATTTGCGCCTACGAGTCCCTCCCGGGACATCTCTACTCGACTATTTAGTTACCTAGACCTCTAGTCTGATGATACCCACACCGGACTGCTAAATGCTCTCAATACCCTTCCTCCCTTCTTCTGTGAAGGGTGGTGCTGTCGCGATGTTATTATCCGCATTATCGCTGCTGTTGAGCCCGTTGGTGTCGGCCAGTTCGGCTGCTGATTATTATGTGCACTCGTTACCCGGGGCGCCGGAAGGCCCTTTCTTGAAGATGCATGCTGGGTGAGTCTCCCGGAAGTTGGATTTCTTCGGAGGTATATCTTTTCTAATACGATGACTTTAGACATATCGAGGTCGATCCGGCGATCAACGGCAACCTGTTCTTTTGGCATTTCCAGAATCGTCATATCGCGAACCGACAGCGCACTGTCATTTGGCTGAATGGTGGCCCAGGATGTAGCTCTATGGATGGCGCATTGATGGAAGTTGGGCCCTACCGACTTCAGGACGACCATACCTTGAAGTATAACGAGGGCAGGTGGGATGAGTTTGCCAACCTGCTCTTCGTGGATAACCCGGTCGGTACCGGTTTCAGCTATGCGAACACCAATAGCTATCTCCATGAGCTGGACGAAATGGCCGCTCACTTCATTATTTTCTTGGAAAAGTTCTTTGAACTATTCCCCGAGTATGCGAACGATGACGTACGTTTGCCTTGTCCTCTACATTGATTATATCTCTAACTGTGTTATAGCTATATCTTGCGGGTGAATCGTATGCCGGCCAGCACATCCCATACATTGCAAAGGCCATTCAAGATCGTAACAAGGGCGTTGCAGAGAACGGAGGCACGCAGTGGCCGATTAAGGGTTTGCTGATCGGTAATGGTTGGATCTCTCCTGCAGACCAGTACCCTTCATACTTCAAGTTCGTTGAGAGAGAAGGCCTCCTCACACCGGGCACAGTCCTTCATAACAATATAAACGCGCTCAACGAAGTCTGCCTCTCGAAGCTGGAGACCGCCGGCGCGAAGAACAAACTGGATGTCGGCGCATGCGAGCTAGTCTTGCAACAATTCCTCGATCGAACCACCGAAAATCACCAATGTTACAACATGTACGATGTCCGTCTCAAGGATGAGGCCAAATCCTGTGGCATGAACTGGCCTCCTGACCTGAAAAACATTGAGCCGTATCTCCAGCGACCGGATGTCGTCAAGGCCCTGAACATCAACCCAGCAAAGAAATCCGGCTGGACAGAATGCGCTGGTATGGTCCACATGGCCTTCACCGCGAAGAACTCCATCCCCTCCGTCCACCTGCTCCCGGGATTGATCGAATCGGGTATCAACGTTTTGCTCTTCAGCGGCGACAAAGACCTCATCTGCAACCATATCGGAACCGAGACTCTGATCCACAACATGGATTGGATGGGTGGCAGCGGCTTCGAAACCTCCCCCGGCGTCTGGGCCCCGCGCCACGACTGGTCCTTCGAAGGCGAGCCCGCTGGCATCTACCAATCCGCCCGTAACCTCACCTACGTGCTCTTCTACAACTCCAGCCATATGGTTCCATTCGACAACCCCCGCCAGAGCCGCGACATGCTCGATCGCTTCATGAAGGTCGATATCGCCAGCATTGGCGGCCAGCCTTCCGATTCGCGTATCGACGGCGAGAAGCTGCCCCAGACTTCTGTCGGCGGACAGGCCAACAGTACCGCTGCCGAGGAGAACGAGAAGGAGAGGCTGAAACAGACTGAGATGCACGCTTATGCTAAGTCCGGCGAGGCCGTCCTCGTTATTGTGATTATCGGTGTGATCGCTTGGGGCTTTTTCATCTGGCGCAGTCGCCGTACTCGCCGGGGCTACAAAGGCGTCTCAAATAATGATATGTCGGACAATCCATCCATTCTCAACAGATTCCAGAACAAGCATTCTGGTCGTGATGTCGAGGCTGGTGATTTCGATGAGAGTGAGCTCGACCAGCTTCATTCTCCTAGCCCTGAGCGGGAGAATTACGCTGTTGGCGAAGCTAGTGACGACGAAGGTCATGTCTCGCATCCAGAAACTGGTGAAAACCGCCAGTCTTCATAACAAGTGATTTTTTGAAAGGTTTTCAGGAAGAGGGGAATGATTTTGGCATCTGTATAAAGCACACGGTGTTCTGGAGTCTTCGGTTTAATTCTAAATATGATTTTCATTCTGATATCTCTGCGGTCATACTACTCAAGTGACATGTTGATTATATATTCTTCCTTTTTCTGGTCTCTAAATACATCAAGCCTTTTGTTTATAAGCTATTTAGACCCAACACATGCCAATTCCAAAAAGCAATTACCGCGTCACAGTCCAAACCTTGACACTCCCATCATCAGCTGTCGAGACAAGCACCTCCTCCTCGCCCCCAGAACCCCGATCTGCTCTCTTCGCCCAAGCAACATGATTAATCTCGTAAATCCCATGCGCCCCATCCTGAATACCAACAAGCACCCACTCCGTTCGTAGCACATCACTAGACGCAGTATCCATAGCATCCGCATCATCCTGCTTTTCCTCCTTCTCCGGTGTAACAAATCGCTCTTCATAAATCGCAATCCGCCCATCCGCACCAGTCGAAGCAACAAGTCCGGTCCGCTTACTCCACGCAACAGCATAGACAGGCAGTTCATGCGCATGCGGGAGCACGGCATCCTCCTCCCAAGCCTCGTCTGTCCCCGTAGGCCGAATGATACTCGGGATGCCCGTCGTGGCAGAAGAAAACGCGCCCATCTGCTGTGATTCCTTCGGCTGCCGCCGCCACACGCGCACGGTGCGGTCGTCCGAGCAGGAGATGAGGCGCGGGCCGGAAAGCGCCCTCTGAGAACGCCACTGAGCTTGTAAAGCGCTCAGCTCGGACTCAGAATTGGAATCGGAAATCGGCCCGTTCCATTTCTCTGCATCATCCCCCTCCCAATCCAAAAACCAAACTGTCCCCCCATGTCCCTTGATGCATGCCACCTGGCCCCAATCATCTAGATCCTCCCGCCACAGCCGGATAGTGTCGTCGTAGCTCCCGCTAGCAAGACACTCCTCGGAAGGAT